TACAATATGCAGTCAGCCCCAAATATAAAAGAAGAAAACAGACTAATTACTTGAAATGATTTTACCCCACCTTACACGGTGCAGATTAGCTTGTAGGTTCAACCTAAATTTTTATTTGAATTTATAATTAGTATTAATATAATTTGTTTGTATTTATCTATAATATTATTTAATGTAAAACAAAATGCTGGTGTGTGATGTGATTTACTTGCCCAGAGTGCCCTAGAGCTTCTGCTGTGGCTCTGTTCTGGATGGTTCTTCAGACTCATGTCACAGAGTTCAGCACCACAGATACTGTCTCTTTAAAACTGGCCTGTCTTTTTACTGAGGCCCAAAACATACTCTCCTTTTACACTGTCGCCACACCATTACTTTTTGGATTGCTCGGTAGACATGAGAGGAAATTTTTCTTCAGGATTGCCCTTGCACTGATATATAGAATAATGTACTGAGTTTTAGGCTGTTTGATCTTCTCTAGTAAATTTGAATCAAATATGGTAGCCTTTAATACAGTTTTTTTTTTTTGTTAATGTGGTGTTTCAGCATTGGTATTATTGTCACAATACTAAAATATAAAACTCGATACCTGAAACCGATTTTGATTCTATGATGATAGGAAAGATAATTTTTCATGTTGTTTTACTGATTCGTATCTGGGTACTGTTTTTTAGGAGTAGGCATAATTATCTAACAGATGCATAAATCTGTATAGCTGATGCATGAATGAATGACAGCAACTCCTTCACTTGTATGAATGTGTGTGCAGACTGACCTGTTCCCCATGCGACGGTCTCTGTCCCAAACTATGTGTGGGAAACAAGACCATCGACTCCGTCACTTCAGCTCAGGCTCTGAGAGGCTGCACTGTGCTCCACGGCAACATGATCATCAAGATTCGAGGAGGCAGTAAGTGCACTCACTCCTCACTCCTCACCGGGCCCCTGTGAGAGGTTTGATCTATGTCTCCTCTCAATTTACAGCTCAGTCCTATCATCTCTATAGTCTATTTTACTGTAAACTTCAGTCTATAGGCAGTCTACACCTACTATTTGACAGTCATTTGTAATGGATCTGTCTTTACAGATAATATTGCGGCTGAGTTGGAGGCTAATTTGGGTCAGCTTGAGGAGATCACAGGGTACCTGATGGTCCGACGAGCCTATGCCCTCATCTCGCTCTCCTTTTTCCGAGAACTGCGTGTCATCAAAGGAGAACATCTTGAACAAGAGTAAAACTTTTCTTCTGCTTCTTAATAATCACAGACTTTTTATATTGTATTAATTAACTTATTGTGTGTGTCTCTTTTTTTTCATCTAGTGCTTTTGCCTTTTATGCTCTGGACAACCAAAACCTGCGTGAGCTGTGGGACTGGTCTAAACACAACCTAACCATTGTGAATGGCCGCACATTCTTTCACTTCAACTCCAAGCTTTGCATGTCTGAAATTAGAAAGATGGTGGAGGTAACAGGAGTGAAGGAGCGCAACAAAAAGAATGATATTGCTGCACGAACCAATGGGGACCAAGCAGCCTGTAAGTGGACCGTTAAAAAAATTTACCAAGCATGTGCATAGATAAATCTAACTGAAAATAAACCATTCATTAACATATGCATTTGTTCTAGGTGAGACCAAACTCCTAATATTTACACAGGTGAAAACATCATCTAACAAGATTATGGTGAAGTGGGAGGCATTCTGGCCACCGGATTATAGGGACTTATTGGGATTTATGGTCCTTTATAAAGAGGCGTATGTATCAGGAATAATACATTATATCTGTTGATACCTCATACACAGTTATCTAATCTATGTCTGTATTTTAGCCCTTTCAGAAATGTGACTGAGTTTGATGGGCAGGATGCTTGTGGCTCCAACAGCTGGATTATTGCAGATGTTGAGCCCCCACGGCGTAGCCCAGAGAACAAGAAACAAGAAGAACCAGGACACTTGATCAGACCGCTCAAGCCCTGGACCCAATATGCCATCATGGTTAAAACACAGCTCTCCGCCTCTGATGAGCACCAGGTCTACGGTGCAAAGAGCGAGATCATCTATGTTCGCACCAACGCCTCCAGTAAGTGGCGTCAGACTGGCAATAGAAGTTTTTTTTTTGCATTCTTTACACCGGATGTTTTGTTGTATTTTCAATATTTTGCTTTGCACCAACTAATTACAATGTTCTCTTTTTCAGGGCCTTCCATTCCCCTGGTGTATATGTCCTCCTCTAATTCATCCTCTCAAATCATCTTAAAGTGGAAGCCTCCAACCAACCCCAATGGCAACATTACGCACTATACAGTCAAATGTACAAAGCAGCCTGAAGACAGCGACCTGTACAAGTTTGACTACTGTTTACAAGGTCAGTATTGAGAGTGTGCCAGTTTTCTTAAACAGATCTGTTATTTTTGACTCTACCTCTTTTAATTACACTTTATTTTAGGGATGAAACTACCTTCTCGCACCCCGACCCATTTGGACATTGATGAAAAACAGAAGTGGAATCATACCGAGGAGCCCAATGTGGGGGGAAACTGCTGTGCTTGTCCTAAAACTGATATCCAACTGAAGAAGGAGCAGGAGGAGAGAGAGTACATCAAAATGTTTGAGAACTATCTTCACAATGAAATCTTTGAGATCAGGTAGGTTGCCTTTTCAACCAAAATTGTTCCCCACTGCTTTTTTTCTTTTGCACATGGCATTGCAGTCAGCTTTTGTGGGAAAGAAGCGTTGCTTGTGTGGACCATACACTTTTTCTGGTCCACACATAAACAGTGAAGGGGGATTTCTGTGCACATTATCATTCATGCCAGTTACAGATGCAGTCATGCACACAGTATCCTGGAGCATACATAAGCTCCACCTGATTTCAAGCTTTTAAGTAATTATTAAGTAAATCCTATTAAAATATTGTCTAATGTACATTATAATAAAATAACTTTTAATAACTTGAGTTCATGACCTCTTCCTGTTTTACTTAAAAACATGTTTTGTGGACTTTGACCAGTAGCTCCACCCAGTGGTGAGTGCTGGTTATACTTGCTTTAACTGTTGTATTTGAAAATAAATGTCATGAAGTTGGACCTGCCACACATCTTAAAGGTGATGAGAGCAGAGGGCCTCTTACACACTTCATGTCATGGTGTAAATCATGCCTATTTGGACTCAAATTTTGTGCTGAGGCTGTCTGAGTCAAATATTATAATTTCTGATTAGGTTTGGATCAGATCATTTCTGACATTTTTCTTTCCTCTTCAGACCAGCCAGGCGCAGACGTTCTGTAGGAGTTGCCAGTGCCACCCATACACCTTTTATACTTAGCACCTTTGCATATGGCCCTACTACTGTCACTCCTAAAGATGAAGGATCCAAGGTATTTTGTTACTTATTTGTTACTTATTTACTATATATACATATATATATATATATATATATATATATATATATATATATATATGTGTGTGTGTATATATGTATATATGTGTGTGTGTATGTGTGTGTATGTATGTGTGTGTGTATATATATATATGTATATAAAATTGTACTTAAGGTAGTTTAATTTAATTTAATAGCAATGTATTTAGTGTTAAACACAATACTGCAGTTGAATTATACAACAGTCTTGAGGCTAATTGAATGTGTTTTCCTGGCCTAAGGTTGAGCTCAAAGTGTTCTCTAAGGAGTCTACAGTTATCTCCAACCTTCAGCACTTCACCAGTTACAAGATCGAGGTCACGGCCTGCAACCATCCCACAGACCCTGACCGCTGCAGCATGCCCACCTTTGTCAGTGCACGCACCATGCCTGAAGGTGAGATCATCTTAAACAGTGTTAGCTATTGTAAATGACAAAGTTTACACTGTCTTACATTTTCATTATGTGTTTACAGAAAAAGCAGATGATATTCCAGGCCCTGTCACACATGAAATAATGCATGGTGATACTCACGCTGTACTAATTAAGTGGAGTGCCCCTGTTGCTCCTAATGGGCTCATCATTTTGTATGAAGTCTTCTATAAGAGGGTTGGGGATACAGAGGTTAGTAAAAAAAAAAAAAGTGCCTTTAAAACACTGACATAAATAAAGTACAAATAACTATAAACAATAATAAATAATGTAGATAATACTATAGTGTAAAAGTATAATGTTAGTACTTCTATTATATATTTGTATGCAATGCACAGTCATTGCGCGTTTGTTGTTGCTTATTTGCTTCCAATGTGTGTGGATACATTTCTCATTGCTATTCACTGCTGCACTGCCTGACCCTAGGAGCCAGTAGCAGCCCTGTTGCCATAGTGACAGAGGCAGGAAGACTAGATTGCAGTGGCAGGAATTGACTGGCATCTCCTGTGCACTGCAATCAAACGTTTTTTTGTTTGTTTGTTTTGTTTTTTCTTTTTTACACAATGCAGCAAGTTAAACAGTTTAGCCTGATTAATAATAAATGCCATGTAACTTGATAGGTCTGTTATGTGTGATGTGACTGTTCTGTTTGTCCTTTGTGTAAGAAGCATTTATTGTCACAAATCTCTTATGTTTTTGTCTTTTCTTCCAGCTTCATACTGCTTGTGTATCACGACCGGCTTACCTCAAAATGGGTGGCACAAAGCTCTCTCTTGTGCACCCAGGCAACTATAGTGTGAGGGTCCGTGCCACATCTTTGGCAGGAAATGGTTCTTACACAGATACCACCTACTTCTTCATGCCTAACAGTAAGGCTCAAGGCCCAAGATTGGATTTATATATTTATGACATATCATGTGTAGACACTAGTGACGATCTAATAAGATATAATCAACTCTATGCATATGGTCACTGATTGCCACTCTTTCTTTGTCATTACAGAAGATCCAGATGTTATCTGGCTTGTTATTGGGCCAGTTATTTGCTTCATCTTGCTGCTTATTGTGGGAGCTGGTGTATTTGTTGTTTTCAAAAAGAGGTAAAGACCTAAAAGACTAATAGTTATCAAAAGCTTATCGTATTTAAATTGTGGTTGATGTGATGTTTTTACATCACTATACTTTACTTTACTTGCTCTACAGGCAGACTGAAGGCCCAACTGGACCCCTTATTGCCTCTTCTAACCCTGAGTACATCAGTGCAATTGATGGTAATTTAAATTTTTTTTAAAACAGGTACCTGTGAATAAATATGACATGACCCATATAAAACAAAATCTTGCTCTTTTGTACAGTGTATGTTCCTGATGAGTGGGAGGTGCCCAGAGAGAAGATTAATGTGCTGAGAGAGCTGGGGCAGGGCTCCTTTGGCATGGTGTACGAAGGAATTGCCAAAGACATCGTCAAAGGAGAGCCTGAGACACGCGTCGCTGTCAAGACGGTTAACGAGTCGGCCAGCCTGAGAGAGAGAATAGAGTTCCTAAATGAAGCTTCGGTCATGAAAGCCTTCAGCTGTCACCACGTGGTATGAAGCTCCTCTTCTTCATCGAACAGCACATAAACAAACAGCATGAAAATACATGACTCATGTAGCATGAGCTGCTTGTTGTGTTGACACAGCCATATTGACACACAGTTTGACTCTACAAACACTTGTTCATACTTAGTAATCACTGATGTCGGCCATTACTGTTGTTTGTCAACAACCGTATGAATGTACATAATTATGTGTGGCACATAGTTATGTACGTTCTTGCAGGATGCCATTGTTCTTGAGTAAATTTGTTTAGTTTAAACAGTCATATTGTCACTGTCTGTGTAGGTCCGTCTACTTGGTGTGGTGTCGAAAGGTCAACCCACACTGGTTGTCATGGAGCTGATGACCCATGGTGATCTTAAAAGCTACTTACGCAGTCTAAGGCCTGATTCTGAGGTGGGCGACTTGAACAGAGATGATGTATTTGATATAGAAATTATTGTTGACATTTGATGCATTATGTTTTATGTACTGTGCAGAACAACCCTACGGGCCGGCCGCCACCAACACTGAAAGAAATGATTCAGATGGCTGCAGAAATAGCTGATGGTATGGCTTACCTCAATGCCAAGAAGTTTGTGCACAGAGATCTGGCAGCAAGAAACTGCATGGTGGCAGAGGATTTCACAGTTAAGATTGGAGGTAAAACACATTAAAATGTCGTAAGATGCAACTCAAAATAAAGATGAATTGTGTATATATATATATATATATATATTTGTATTGTCCTCTCCTCCAGACTTTGGTATGACACGAGACATATATGAAACCGACTACTACCGTAAAGGTGGGAAAGGCCTGCTCCCTGTCCGGTGGATGGCACCAGAGTCTCTGAAGGACGGTGTGTTCACTGCCCACTCTGATTGCTGGTATGTAACTAACTGAGGCTCACTGGATTCTTAATAGGTTTTAGACTGGGACACTTCATGTGTGTTCGTTTGTGTTTGTAGGTCATTTGGGGTTGTGCTGTGGGAGATCAGCACACTGGCAGAGCAGCCATACCAGGGTCTATCCAATGAACAGGTCCTAAAGTTTGTTATGGACGGAGGCTACCTGGACAGACCTGACAACTGCCCTGAGAGGATGTGAGTGCCAAAACCTACTACCTACAACCAACAACTTATAATATATAAAGACTGACCATTACTTAAATTTCTTTAATTTATTTTAATTCTTTGTTTATGTAAAAGTGTTGACTCAATGTAGTTATGATATGGACCTTAAAGTCGCTGTGTTAAAAACACATGAAAAACAGAGCTAGAGTCATTTTAAACAGTCCATCAGCCTTACTTCCTGGTTTGATAAAATTCTCAGGTGCAGACAGCACATGGTGGTCTCATTTTGACCGTAAGAGCTGAGTTTACAATATATCTTTACTGGGGAGTACATGAAAACTGTTGGGTACAGCACCTCATCTCTAATGTCTTGTGTTTTTAGGCACAGCCTAATGCAAATGTGCTGGCAATACAACCCCAAGATGCGTCCAACGTTTCATGAGATAATCGAGATGCTGAGAGAGGACTTGCACCCATCCTTCCAGGATGTGTCCTTCTTCTACAGTGAAGAGAACAAGGTCCCAGAGACTGAGGAGTTTGACTTGGACCTGGAAAACATGGAGAGCATCCCACTGGACCCATCGTCTTACTCCCATAGAGAGGAGAGTTTAGGCAGAGACTGTGGGCCGTCAGTGGGCCTGAGGGGGAACTATGAGGAGCATGTCCCCTACACACACATGAACGGTGGAAAGAAAAATGGACGAATCTTATCGCTACCCAGATCCAGCCCATCCTAACATTTCCTGTTTTCTATGAACTCCATTTCTCCTTTTCTCTGTTCCAGTCCGTCTCTTTACCTTCTGTTGCGTTGTTAATTTTTTACTTCAAAAACACAGATCTCAGGACCTTTTCTTTCTTCCTCATGGCTGCCAGTCACAGGCAAAACCGGACATGATGCAAACATGGTTCCCCATTTTTCCTTCTTCCACATCAAAACTTCTGTTGTTTTTAATCATGTTTACCAAACTCCTTTCCAAATAGAAACAGAGAGATACTGTGAACACAACAAACCTTAGACAACTAGAAGACTGCTTATGCTCCACCTCTCTAGACTCCACTTCACACCAGTCTGCATTTTCACATCCAGTGCTCCCCAAGTGTAATCTTTCTACTCAGATAGTGGCCTTTTTGTATATGGTCTCAAAGCGCCTTTCAACGCTTCTGTTAATTTCTTTTTAAACAATGACTTTTTGGAACAATGGAAGATTTGCAAAAGACTTAATCATAGATCAAACATGTATTCCTAGAGGAATTTAGTTTTTTGGGTTTTTTTTTTTGTTTTTGTTTTTGTTGTTGTTGTTTTGTTTTTGTTTTTTTTAAGAAATTGTTTTTACAATTAATTCCTGCAAAATTCCAAACTACACTTGGATTCAGTGGGTTTATGATAGTTTAATTTATTTTGTTTTGTTTCCTCCTTTCTCTCTTTTCTTTTCCGGTCCTCACTTTATGGCTGAAGGATATTTAAACTGTTATGAATTGGACAAAATATTTCCTCAGACTGACCAATAGCTGCTGCTTTGTTATAATTTAGTGGGAGTAGAATAATATAAATATATATAATTTATACTATATATGGAATATTGGTTGTGCACCAATATTTTATATATAATATATGACACTTTTGTAAATAGTACATATTTGTAATGTTTTTCAGAGGCTTTGCTAGTATTTCATTTTTATGTTGCTGTTTTTTCCAGATTTTAAAATATATATATTTTTCTAGCCCCAGAAATCCCACTAATCTACCATCACTATTCATGTGTGTCTTAGGCCTCCAGTTTCTCACTGCTCTGTACATCTGGATGGAGCTGAGAAAGCCACAAACTATTGTCAACACGCCAGTCACCACATCATGTTTCTTTTCTATAATAATTATTATTAAAAATCTGGAAGCTGTCAACATTTAGAGGCAACCTTACAATAGCAACAATGAAAAAGACAAAAAATCTGAATAACCAAAAAGCTTTAGAAAGGGGGAATGAGGTCTTTCTGAATTGCACCTGGTTTGTCAGTCTGCTGCTGTTCTCTGGTCAGATCATGCTGTAGCGAGGCCTCTGTGTGGTGCTGTTGCTAGTCTAATGCCTGTTAGTGCTGGTTGGTAGGGGATGTCACTGAAGCTGTAGTCAGTGACAGTAGATTTAGCCTTTGGTCTTCCATGTAAAAAGTTCCTTAGATGGACTTTACCTCTGGAAGAGTTTTACTGTTCTGTTCCCTTTCTCCTCTTCAGTTATTTGGGAGCTTCCTATTGGTCATGAAACCCTCAACCCCAAAATCAGGCTACTGGAATTTTCCACGTTTGGAGTTTGCCGTGAGAAGTGTGGAAAGTTCCATGTCCACAGCAGGTAGAGCGGAACAGAGCTTCGACTTTTGACTGTAGCCAGTGATAATTATTATTCCTTTTATTCCCTCTATCTACTCACAATTAGGCAGCCACGGTCCCACACACAACAGCACTGTCACTCAGGTCTGACATTCCAGGATGAATGACTGCTGGCACTGCTTGTACCATCACATGCAACAAGTGTATTCACTCAAGAGGAAATGTATCTAAAATGTCCATGCTAAAATGCCCATTCAAAATAATGGCCCAACTAACATTGATTCAATCATCATGTCTGTTTTTGCTTAAGCAGAGGGAGAACTCTTAAGTCAATACATTAGTTGCCAATATTACTGAACAGCATTCAGCACTTACTGTAAAGCCAAAGGGTTGGCAACATCTTGTCAACAACGATCACCTGCAGAACACAAGAGCAAGACTAAGCAGATAAGCTGCCTCCATAAATGAACCAGTGCCTTGTCCAACGCAGAGCCACGTCACAAATAGTCTTGTGTGTTTAAGTGGGCAAAGATTTGAGAGACTGAACTGTTTTTAAATTTTAGCTTGTAGCAGTCACACTGTGGATTAGCCTAAGATGATCATGTCAGAAATAGCCTTTTCAGAGCAGTTACAATCTTGTTTTTTTTGTATTTTGTAATATAATAATGAAATAGTTTGGAAATGGAAAAAAAAAAAAGATTATATAAAAAGTCTATGCCTGTTGATTGGTTGTACAGACATTGCAGAATACAGTGGGCTTGAGCTTTTACCCCATTCAACAAAATAGATACTAAATAATTGTCATGGTGACTTCAGAATGTCACCATGAAGTAATACCTGTTTTCTGCATTTGATTACAACCTTAGTTTGTATGATTGCCGTGATTGGGAGACAGATCCCTAATGTCCTGCCCCAGTTCTCCATGGTGTACTTCAAATGCATATGCAACTTTTTAAATTAAGGTGGTGCCCATATCTTTGAAAGACCAGATATTTATTTTATTATGAACATTGTCATTGTGTAAGAAGAGCAGAGTTTTCTTTTTAGTTGAGTATTTTTACTATGTTGATGGTGGTGTGGTGTAATGGCCTTGGTTGTTGTCGTGTCAAGTGTAGCTGGCAGCACGCAGCTGGAGGAGCTCTAGTTAGATGTTAGTCAATGTTGTCGTCTTTGTGTTTTGCCAGAGTCTACCTCAGTGCATATGGATGAATCAGTCTGAAGAGCCTAAATCAACCTTGTAGTTCACTTACTCCAGATCCTATCATCTACCTTCACTTCTAGTATTTTCCATTGCAATCATGTTAAGACCTCCTATGTTTTCTTTATGTGTTCTTATTATTGCAAAATTACACTATGTCAACCTCATCTATTGCTATGTGACTTAAATTTGGCATGAGTGTGGCAGTACAGTGGCTAGTAGGTTTATCCTGGACACTGTATTGTCACTGCTTATACACACTAAAAGGGCCTCACTATTTTATGGGACTCGGCATGGCTGACTTTATGAAACATATCTGATCACCTGCATGTGTCCAAAACGGCACCCTCATGTAATCAAAACTAGACTAAACTGTAGTTTGTCAGAATGCCCTGCTTCTCCTCTTTGGTCCGTCTTATCCTAATTCCATTCTGTTATTATTTTGCTCTATATGTATTTTTTTCTACTGTGAATATCAAAACATGGCTTTTACTTTCTGTCTATGCCACGGATTGGTTCAATTTTGAGCTGATCAGAACAGTGGCATATGGGCTGGTTCAAATTAATGAAAAAGGGGAATTATTTTTCCTTCTTTGCAAAGGAAAGCTGGACTGGGACAATCCTGTGTGCCATACGAACTATTCTAAACAGACCTGAAATCTCGATTGTAACTTTTTACGTCTCAGGGAGGCGGCCTAATGCTTTGTGGTTGGAGGGTGAAAAGAGGATGAGGGGGATGGAGAGCTACCTACCTTATATCCACCCTGACCTACTCAAGTTCTCAGCATCCTTTCAACAACAAAAACCTAAAGAACTCATTGCATAAAATGAGTTTGTGCCCCTTTATTTTCAAATAGTCAGAAGGAATTCCTCTTCTCTCATTTGATGTGGTTCGGACTGCCCTCTTGTGGTCGAACGGGAGCATCGCAGGTCAGGGGTGGCAAAGCAACTCCACAGTGCCTTGCTTTCAGACTTTCAGCCCGCCTGACCCCTCCCACAAGGTCCACTACTCCTCAGCAGAACCACCACTGACCGGCAAGTCTTCACCAGTCCCTCAAGAGGATTTTCCACCTCCAAAATATAATTTACTTTTTCTGTGTTTTTTTATTTAACATTTGATTAAAAAATACTGTCATTTCAGATGTTGTGTTCGCTGATAATTATTTTTAACCAAAAGTCTTCTCTGCTTCTGTCTGTCTGGCTTGCTTTGTGCATGGATCATGAATAATGTGTACCAGCAGATAGCCCAGTAACTTGACGTGTAGTGGTTTCCTTATGCCCAAAATCATGCAAACCTAATTTCAATCTCACAATTACAATCACTGATCCACCTTCATGACAATATAATATGAATTTGATAAGCTCTTTTTTATTGTGAATACACCCCCAGGTCCTAATGCAAGCACTTGATTTTAAGGGGAAGTTTCGGTTTTGTTTTGTTGAACTCTGGTGACCTCTGAAGTGGTTAGGGCAGAGCACGTTAGTTACACAGCGCAGGGTGAGAACAAAGCATTGTATGTATTGTCATTGTCTTTTTGTTGAGAGAAAAAAGTATTACATTTTAGAAGATGTTGATTTCTATTTTTTTAGCCAAAGTTAGGGAGGGCAAAACAATGACTTTTTCAGACTGTAAACTTTTACTATTCTTGTACATTATAAATTTAACATTGTTATCAATCTGTATATAACTTTTTTCTAAATTGAAAAGATGAAAATTTTCAATGTAGAGCCATGGCAAATGTCAAGGAGCAAGGCAATGTAAAACTGTGGCCTGCAGTCTGCTCTTAACGCCCATCTAAAACTGAATTTATATGTTATAATTATCAAAGATGTTTATTTTTTATTTTGTGATGAACTGGAAAAGACCACTGCACATCCTTTATCAAAGACAAATGAGTGTGAAATCCTAAATAAGCTAAAAAAAAAAAAAAAAAAAAAAAAAAGTGATTTTTATTATTACTGATACTATTTTTTCAGTTTGGACTGTAAAGTGTAGGAGTACAGTGGGCTGCGACTGTACCTATTTATGTTGTTTTGGAGAAAGTCGGGAATCTGAATCAGTGGTCTGCTCCAGTTTTAAAAGTTGGTCCCTGTGCTTGTTTAAAATTAATGAATTTGTATCTTCTGTGTTGTTTTTACCACTGCACCCCTCATGTCTGACCTTCTGACCGCTGCTCCCCATTCCTCTCCCTCCTCTGTGCACATACACTACAGTCCCGGGAACGCTGTGTCAGGATACTTCTTAACCTATGTATGTGTCCAGGCCCAAATCTTATACCAACGAGTACAGACAACGCTACCCCTCACACTGGATCCATATGTGCCATTACCTACGACAATACCGACCTGTTTGCAATGACACTCAACACATGAGCAGAAAGACATGAATATTGTACAGGATCAAAAATGTGCCATGACTAAATTAACGCTTGACAATTTATTTTTTCTATGTTTTCAAAGGAGAGCCAAGTAGTGACTTGTACAGAAAATGTTGCGATGATATGAAAATAAAAATCTTGCTGTGTGTAAATTATTCAACAATTAACTGTTTATATTAAAATTATAAATAAAATTATTGGAGAATATCTGTTTTTTTTTTCTGTACATTCATAACGATAGACTGAGTTAGGCCTATATTTTTACGGTTAACAGTTACAGGTAGTTAGGATTTTTGTTAATGATTAATGATTATGAAAAATAAAATAAAATATTAAATTTAATGAAGTAATTATTTTTAATTACCCAGTCAGAAACCAGAATGGGCTTCTTTCTTTTGGGTTGCCAGATCCAGCTGCTAAAACCAACTTGTGTTTATGTCCCTGATATTTAATAGGTGTGCTCTGTAGTAATACTGTTTATGAGTACGAGTACACCTTTTATTTACATTTGGAGCTGGAGCAAATCTAGAGTAATTAATTGTGTTTACCATAGGCAAACAATCTGATCATAATGTCAGTACAAGGCAGTAAAAAAGTCCAGAATCCACATTTTATAGCAGGTAAGTGGCTAACACAAATTGATCATTGCAGTAGGCTCTGTGATGATTGTAAAACACCATTTTCCTCTGGTGTAATGAATAATCGACTATAGCTAATTCACCGTTGGATATGATAAGCGACAGTAAATGTTATGTTAGATTTATGTTTAGGCTGAAGGCACTTTCTAACGGCAACTTCTGAAACCTGCTACAGTATTTTTTGGCCTAGCCTTTATGATCATAGGATGAAAGCAATGACATAACAATAAGTGGTTCAAAAAGTAAAGCCCTGTTTATAGTTCTTTACAAAATAATCATTATCATAATTATAAATTAGTACGGCTGCCTCTGAACCTGAAGGATTGTAATGTCACATATCATATTAATTAATATGCTTGTAACACAATCCACTCAGGATAAATGTCTATCACCATAAAATCTAAATGTAAAATATCTTTGAAAACCCTATGATAATAATTACAATAAGTAATTCTAATTCTTTACAATCACTATAATTATGTTTTCTGTTTCCTTTGACTGTGTATTTGAACAGACACACTGCACAACTGGCAGTGGCAAACTCTGTCACATTTAAACCTTTAAACCACTGCAGAGTCTGACAGTTCCTCTTTGCCCCATTTAAATACTGGTGCAGAAAGACGCTCACATCCTCCTAATGAGAATCATGAGATAACAGCAAAGCTTTTCCCCCTTTTCTGACTGAGTCTTTCTGACTCTCTGCCCCTCATGCCCCCCCATATCTCTTTTTGACACCCCACCCCACTCTCTCTCGTTCCTTCTCCCTTCCTCTCTCTCTCTCTCTCTCAAATGGTAAAGTCAAAAAGTCTCTCTTGCCCTCCCCTCCTTTAACTCTCTCCCTCTCTCTTTCTCCCTTGACCTGAACAAACTGGGTGCTTTTAGCTTGATAGATTTCAACAGAGCAGTGATGTGTGAAACTTGGTGGAGTCTGTTTGTAAGTCAGAAGAAAAGAGGAAGTGGCTGTCTCTGAGCTCAAACTGAGGACACCGGACGTTCACACACATTGTCTTCTTCACAGTCGGTCTACATCTGCATCTGTCAATCTACCCGGCAGACAGGTATATTTTTATACATTTGTTGTTGTCCCACTGTGAGATGTGTTTTGTGGTATCTTGTATCTTTTTGATTGCATTTTTAACTTGCAAACATTGGTATAAAACAAACTTAAGCTCAGGTCTTGGCAGGTGGTTGTTTTTCTCAGACAAATGGTAAAAGAAAACTAGCAATGTACTTTTACAATGTTGTATAGAGTAAATAAATACATGTTCGAAAAGCAATAGGTGAAAGTAATAGTTTATGTAGTTCCACCCCTTTGTAGCACATATGCAAAATTAATGTTTGTTTAATAATTATAATATCTATGACAGGCTAACTCCTAGCTCTTATGTCTTATCATAACAGAATACAGTATCTCCTATAGATTTCTTGCAGATTATGGTTACACAAATATATATTATCCTCATTATCTTTTATCTCTTTTACTTTCAGTTGTTCACTTATTACCTGTATTCATTATACAAGCAGTCTTTTATAATAGTTTGTAATATATTTTTTGCTAATGATGATAACATTAAGTGTGATTTGTTATGTTAATGTATTAGCCCAAGTTGTTTTAGACAAAAACACAGACTGGAGTGGACCACCATAATCTCTTCTATTAATGGAAAACTCTTGAATCATAAATATCATGTGTTTAATTTGCTTCATACCTTTTCCTCCCTTTGATGCTAATTACATCCATACATTTCTTAACTATATTATCTATTGTTTCCCTGAAAACTATTTAAAATGTATTGACTAACACTTCCTTCTTCATTCTAGTTCTGCCATTTATAACATTGTTTCGTTATAACTAACCTTTACTATGAGCGCTTTCATTTTAGCATTCAAATTCCTAACTTCCTATAACTCGCACTTCCGTGTCTGCTTTTGGCATATACTTTTGAAATACACTTTTTATCACTTGTTTTTGCTTTGCTCTCTGCTCTGGTCTCTCTCTCTTCTTTGGGGTTGTGTCTGGGTTGCCTCCCCTCCTCCCTGTGTTCCTCCCTCTCTTGCTGCCTCTGCCTCAGTGTACAGTCCTCTTCCAGCTCCTCTTGTCCCCCCCGGCTGCTCCGATCCCATGGCCGACTCTCCCCTCAACCACTCCTGGCCATCCTTCTCCAAACTCTGGATGAAGAGATGGTCCTTCAAACGAGGTATTATTTGGACTTGAACTTGTACTTTAGGATTATTGCATTGTATTGTTGTGTGGAGTTGTATCAGATAAACAATGTGATGGTGTCTGGACATCTGTTGGGATTCTGTACTGGATCCAGTAGAGATTTTGGTATTTCATATTTCAAGTTCTTGCTGGTGGTCAAGTGCAAATAACTGAAATAACGTTACTTTAAATGAGGCAGTTAGGTAGTCTAGTACTTAAATCTGCACCAATTTATTTACTACACAAATGGTATAATCTCTACTACCACCATTAGTATATTGTTCGTTACATACTACTGGAATTAGTACCAAAATTTTTCACTATAAACTTTTTGGAAATTATTGTCAATTATTTTTTACCACTTTTGTTGCTTACTGCAAAAATGTAAAATTATAGTTGAAGGCAGATTGTTTCCACCATACATTGCATTGCGACTTATTGTTTGGTTTAGGAAGACGTATGGGACTACAGTGGGCCTAAACCTGGACAAGAGCAGGACCAAACTAAGTCTACAGGACTAAACTGGGCTAATATAAAACCAGGACCAAACCAGGAACGCACTCTGAATCTAGCATGTGATCTTTGTAGCAGTATATTTCACTAATGTTGTGTGGTGGAGTAGTGTGCAGCCCTGGTCAGTGGGGCCTGTGATCAGAGATGAGAGAGTGGACAGTGATTTTGATGTGTCTCTATCACACTTCTAACAGACCTATTCTGCTGTCTCCCTCTCTCTCTCTTTCTCTCTCTCACACACACACACACACACGCACACACACACACACACACACACACACACGCACACACACAACACACACACACAATCACAAATGCACTCTGATGAATGGGGCAGGTGCGTGGTGGTCCCTGCAGCTGCCAGCATCAACACTGCGTGGCTTATGTTACCATATGCTTTAAAGCCTGTCTGGTTGGTTTCATATCATTGTCGTCATTTGAGTAGGTCTTGTGAGTCTCTCTTATGATTGTCATGCCACTTTGGGAAATTTAAGATGTGTAGATGTGTGTGCGGATGGCATGTGCTTGTGTTTCCTTCCTTAAATATAATTCATGGAACTGTTATTGCTTTGCATGGAATGTTCACAACTATAACTTAATTATAGTCACTTAATTTAAATTTTAAATTACAATCTTATATTTAGGCAATTGCAGATGATTTTATTCCTGAAAAATATAGGAAAAAAACACTCAACCTTACTGTAAGCAAGGCTTCCTTTCCACAGATCTGATCTGTAACTTAGGCTAATCTTCTCTACATGGAGATAAATAAGTTTGATAACATACTGAGGATTCCAGGCACAGCAATAACATCTACATGGAGACAAGCAAATGCATTTGAGACTTTAATAGAAAAGAGTGAGGTTTTCTTCAATAGTTACCTCATCTGGGAATCTTTGAAAAGGAAAATATGGATTATTAGATGCTGTTGTCTGCTGTCTGTTGTCTCCAGTTGTCCAAATATATTAAGAGATTTCGCTTTCTGTTCCTTTGAAATTAGTGATGTTTTTTGACTGTATCATTTCAATGATGTATGTAGAGATCATCAGTAATGGAAGAAGTATTACATTTTGTTACTTAAGGAAAAGTACAGACAACAGAGCAAAAACATTCTCAAGTAAAAGAAAATGTATCACATGAAAAACTTATCTGTACCTGTTTATAGATGTATTTAAAGAGTAAAAAGTTAAAGTATTTTGTACTGATTTTGAGATTTAATAAAGCTTCAAGTGTAATAATTCTGATAAAGATTTATGATGAACAGAAACAATAAAAAAATATATTTTTAGCTGTTTTTAATTGTATATTTTTGTTTACTCAAACTACAAATGTGTTAAAACTTACTCCTCAGCCTTTCAGCAGGTCTCACACAATAATAACTTTTACTTTTCAGTCCTGTTAAAAAATGTAGTAGTACAAAGCACATATACCTGCTCTCAAATGTAATGAAGTAAAAGTAAAAAGTATCCAAGTTTAAATCTATAAAAGTATCTATTAGTACTAAAGTACTGTAAAGTACTGATACCATTTTTTAAATTTTTTTTATTTTTTAACTTAATTACAGTACTTTATTACTTTTACCTCATTACGTTCCACCACAGGCAGAGAAACAAGCTCATTTTCCAGACACTCAGATTTGAGCTTGGAAGAAAAAACTATATATATATATATATATATATATATATATATATATATATATATATATATATATATATATATATATATATATATATATATATATATATATATATATATATAGTATATATATACAAACATCAGATTTGGAACTTTAGGAATATCCTTCTAGATATGCAACATGCGACAACAATCTTGTCACAGCTATTAACACTATGTTCCACTGCTGATGCACAAGGACACAACCCCACAATATAAATGACAGCATATGATTACATAAACAGTCTGTATTAACTAACTGTATTGTTTTAGTAGCACACGATCAGTATAATGAAATCAAACAACAGCCAAAAACACTGTGACATTTCACCTCTGTGACTTATGAGCAGTTATAACCGACCAACCATAAAAGGCTGTGGCGTCTTTACTCATGTCATAATTTTATTCTAGTACCTTTCCTTTGCCAGGCCTATACTACACATCAGAGACAGTGCCATTGCTTTGATTTAGGATGACTACTTAATGGTATTCGCAATGCCAGTTTTAGGAGGGATTTTGTGGTTCCTTGTTTCACTGTTTAGCTGTTTCTATGGCCTTCAATGTTGTCTGCAGAAGTTTCTCTTAAATCAAGCACTTCACATTGTTATTTAGGCCCATGCCACATAAGTCAAAACAATAAGACAATATTATACAATGTAATAAAAAGTACTGCCTATTGTAACCATAATTGTAACTAGCTGCATTAATAATGATGTACTATAGATCAGGGGTTCTTAACCTTTTCAATCTTGGGGCCCAACGTTTTCTGAACAAAGTAACCTGGGGCCTTATCTCATATTAAATGCATTATATTGTACTGATTGTGGGGCCCCCAAGGAGGTGGTACTTGGGGCCCCAGCCCTATGGTAAAGAATCACTGTCCTAGATTGATCCATCAGTGCACATATTGGAAAGCAGCCGAGTTAGTCCACAGGAGCCAGTCTGTCTCCTCAGGTTCACAGGAGGCATCTGGACTAAATAACTCTTATGTAACATGCAGATGTAGCTATGATGGTCCAGACACTGGAAATGCATTATACCCACTAACTTTAGAGATATAGATTGTATAGATATAGAATATATGGATTGTTGATTATATTTGCCCTTTTTAATGGCAATCAGCCACTATTGTGTTTGGATTGACCTGATTAAATACCTCAGCTCACTAGACTTTGACTCTGGTTTCCAAAAATCAGCATCAAGGACAAGAATATAAAATAGTTCATGTCTACTGTCTAATTCAGAGGAAAATGTGACAGATTATTTTACCACACGAGTGGTGGTTGCCACTGTAGGCTTTATTTTTCCTATAGCATCATATTTCTAACTTGAGAAGTTGCAGGAGGCTTGAGGAGGCTCTAAAAAGCTTGAGCTGCTAATAATGCTCTTGGTGATGATGGTTTTGGCATTTGACATTGTGTGTTATGGGCCAAGAAGAAACAGTATATGCTGTTTTTACACCATAGACTTATATTTGTTTTTGTTTTGTTTGTTTTGTTATATTTGTTTGAGCTATGCAGTGGATGAAAAGTTTATGTTTTCTTTTCAGGCTCAGAGTGTAAGCCCTGCATCACACCTCGTGTGTCTTGTGGCCAGTTCAGACCAAGTGCCCAGAACAGGAGCAGCTCTGCCTCTTCAGTGTCTCCTGGCTGTGTGGCTGAAGATGTCTTCTTCGAGCCCACCACTGAGGACCAAGTATGAATCATGACCACTAGGCTATTTTCCAGTTTATTTGTTGTGTATTTACTTTATTTTTCCAAAGCATTTTATTATTATTAATATTCTTGTATTGTTTTTGCATCTCTTATTTTCTTAGCTATTCTCATTAAATCTGTTCTGCCTAATAGGAACTAAAGACCAGAAATGCTGCATGCTTTGTGATTGTAACACCACTTAAATGTCTAAATCGTTACTAACAAAATACATTTGTGATACAGGATCGGTGTTCGGTGGTAAGTGACTATGACTGCTTGACTGAAGAGGACACCTGCAGTGGTGACGACTTCAACTCTTCTCTCAGTGACTCTCAGTATTTTAAAGACTTGGAGGAAGAAATACTTTCGTTATCTATACCCACCACAAGTGCCACTACCCCACACCTCCCTACCCCCTCTGCTGCCCCCCAGAACGGTCATAACCCCAAGTACAACCCCCCATCCACATGCATTACCCATTGTGACCTTGTGGTCACCCAGTTTCAATCCAAGCCACTTTTCTCAGATATCTTTGACAGTGGTCCCTCTTCTGCTCAAGTTAGTTTGACCATCAGTTTGAATGGTCTAGTGGGAACCATGGAGCCAACAGATCCAGAAAAAGAATCAGAGGATATGGATTTAGACAAAGACCTTGACAGCTTTCCCACTTTGGTCCGCTCTATGTCCACGTCTCGGAGGCACAGCTGGGGCAATCCTGTATCCCCCATAAACCTGGGAAGAAGGTAAAGCTAGCACATTTCAGTCTACTTTTTGTATTTGCTTTTGGCTTTTGCATAACTTTTATTCTTACAACTTTCTTAATTTATGTTCAAGGTCTTAATAACCTCTAATCTGAAAGCATATAGCCCATTAAAAATGTGCTGGGTAACTTTTCTTGTGGAGGGCCTGTCACCTACTTGTCTCCAAGGAGATCTTTTTACTGAAATGATGTACAGCATAAACTTTTACTTGCCCATCTCAATGAAAACACCTCCATTTCATCTGAATTGAAAAATGAAAGCTAGACACATTTAATACCATACTGTGGAACAATTCACGAAAAGCAATAACATAGTGGCGATCCTTCTATTAGAAAAGATACACAAGTGCAACTTTAAGCCACTTTTTTCCTACAATTAGCTGCATGGCATTAACTTACTATATTCAGTTATTTATGCACCAGGTTGTATTGTCATAAGCATTAGTTGCAATTCTGTGTCTGTTCGTATTAACAAGGATCTGTTCAATTCATCTGTCAGTATTTATGCATTCAGCTGTTTAATATTGTTTATGTTAATATTAATATTAAAATAAATGCTGTGAACATGAGATTCCCACTCATAATTTCACGTCTCTTCCCTTCTGTGCGATGCAGGCTCAGCTTGGACACTGCTACTGTGGACAGTGATGGAGAAGAGGACAGACTCAACAGCAGCTTTCTGTCTCAACAGCCTGAAGAACCTGAAGAGGATGAGACAGATGGACCCATTTTAAAAATACTGAGAGCAAAGGTTATTTGATCTGAAACAGTAGCTATAGTTAGAAGCGAGGACTCCGAATGTTCCCAGTGGACAGGGAATGTGTAAACCAGTGGAGCAGTGTGTCTTATTAATGTGTTTTGTATGTCATGTTTAGACAATAACAGTGATCCTGACCAGAGGTTCTCGTCAGTGGGATCACCTCATTGTTTCTGTCTTCCCATGGGATTATTAGTGTGGACACATACTTGTTACTTGACGCATAAACAGAGGAGTGGTAAAGAATGACGCAACATTGGATAGGTGTTGATTAAGGAATTCAGTTCTGTACAGTTTAAATACATAAGATGGCTGGACTTACAGTTAGGATTATTTTTATTGTTGCACATTGTGATTGTTGTCATTGGTACTTTCAAGAACTCTGAACTTTTTTGGTCAGTTCAGTTTATTATATCTTTAAAATGGATTTTAAAACCTAAATTGTGTAACTGAGAGGCACAGTGTATTCCTTTGATTTTAGGGAACAACCTGCAATTTGAATAACACCAAAGAAAGAGTAACGGCACTGGAATACAGTGAAGGTTAAGGCATACTCTATTAATTCCTTTTGAGGAAAATGCATTATCTGCTTTTGACATGTCCTTCAATGCCTCTTGGGCAACTGCTGTTGCTGCTCAGAGACCAATCCCCAGATTTTAAGGTAGTCTAGGTCAGAACCACCATGGCTGGAGGATTTTATTTACTGAAATTATTGTGATTTCAGAAGGCTGGTGCTGACAGACATAACTGCCGCTCTGAGATCCTGGCCGTAGATGAATGTTCTCGAACTGCTCACATCTCTCGTGTGGTACAGACTTCCAAACAGGCCGCCAGAGCTGCAGGAGGTGGGCTTCACTGTGTCTGCACATTTACACTCTGCAGGCGCCTTTATACTGGCATCATTAACTCATATTTTTAAGTGCACTATGTAAATTTTGTCTAAGAGGGTCAATTGGATGCTTTTTTAATGGTGAAGTTATTTCCTGGAATATTCCACAATATGGCATTAAATGTATTATCTATATGGAAACAAGTAGTTTTTTGTACTGTAAAAAAAAAAAAAAAAACTTGAATAAACACAAGATAGATAAATCTAATACTTGGAACATTACGGGCAAAGCATGTATATCTCCATAGAAACAAGCCAGGTGGCAGACCTTTCACAAGTTACATTATGCACCTTTAAATAATCTTCTCTGTGCTGTAGAACCAGAGGAAAACCTGCATTCACAAGAAGGACAAAGTCATATGTAAGTAGAACAAAACTACCGCACAGCACAGTCTGGCTTTAATGGTGTAAACAAATGCTACCTGCAGTGTGGTGTAGCTGATACAGTAGTGCACATACTGTTCCTTAGTTATAAATCGTAACTCCCACATAACAGAGGGGGCTTTCCTCACCCCGCCTCTCGTAGTCCTGCTCCCTGTCATGTGTCCACAACCTTCTCCTCCCTCAGTCCTCTGCTGCAGCTCCTTAGATGGCCCCCGCTGTACAGTATGGGACCTGATGTGTATGTATTATAATGTGTTGAGGCAGCAGACCAGGGAGGATCCTTCTGTAAATTACACTTTGACACTGGGCTCCTCTCTTCTCTTCTCGCTGTAAGCCCACTCTCAGGCCCTGTATGTTGTTTGTCTTAGGCTATTGGTACAAAAAGTCCTGCAGGAGCTAAAGTTGTATCATGGGTAAGTAAACAGGAGAGGGAGGTCCTGGCTCCTGCTTTTGCTGCGCACCATCCTAAGAGCAACAGTGGTGAAGTGTTTTGTGGGCATGTTTTCATTGTGCACTTTCACATGTTTGCCGAAGAAGAGTTTTGCACACAACCACCTCTGTCATAGTGTGCACCAATTTGCATATTAATTTAAAGTTTTATTCAGCGTGTATCCAAGCATGTAAATTTTCCCTTTCTCTGAACACCAGAGGTGGGCAGAGTAACGTTACTTCAATAATATCACTCAAGTAAAAATACGAAATAGTGGTCAGAAAAATTACTAGTAAAAAAGTATTTGGAGAAACTCTACTCAAGTACTACTATGTGAACAAAATAATTCAAGTAGGAGTAAAAGTATGGTGTACTACTCACCTCTGCACATTAGCCTCTAATGAACTGATATGCTTATGGAAGTCAGTTGTATACTATTCAGTTGTTTTGCCATGTCGAGTTTCTTTAAACCAAACATAAAACTGATTGTATTCACGTTTTTTCTAACTCTGCCCAATAGTGCAAAGCAGAGGAACAGCATCTCAGACTGCAAAGATTCAGGAAATGTCACCTGGTATGAATTCCTTTCAAATGAGTATGTATCACAAACATTTACACTTATTTGTAACTTATTCCCTTTATATAAAACCGCTGTGCTTAATGTGATACACTGTATCTTTTGTATCAGAAATGAGGAGGAGGAAGATCTCGGAGAAAAAGTGGAGAAGTGCACTCGCGTTAAGAGAAAGCTCAGCTCTCTCAGGAGCAGAGTGACTGGTTCCTTCAATAAAGATAAGGTAAGTCTATGACAATATTAAGTCTATTTTGTAACTTCTGTGTCTGGCCACAGTTGACTCAGAGTTTTTTTGATTTATCTTTGAGATTATCTGTCACAAATGACCTTGTCATGAACTTAAACAACTATATTGACCCTGTACTATATTTATCTCCCTAAAGGAAGTGTAAATAGAGCACTGCTTCATACTAATCCCATTAGACAAACACTGCAATGGCCCATATGACACAAAGCATGCCTGGCCAGAAGTCAACAGTCAGCCTTAATCTAACACCTGTCTCTTGTTTGGTTTGTGTTCCCCTTCAGGGTAAGAGTCGAGAGAAAGAGCAGCAGAGGGAGAGAGGGAAAGAGGTTAAAGAGCACCAGCGCAGTAGCAGTATCATCAGCAGTAACGGCCACGACTTGGTGCCGGGTGCTTTCTCCAGCTGTGCCACCTGCTCACTGTGCAGCAAAAGCCTGCAGAAGAAGCATGGGCTGCAATGCATGAGTGAGTAACGCCCATAGACTGTATATATATTCTTTGTACAGTCTATGGTAACGTCACATGTGCAGGCGCCCCACATAGATGCTTGTTCACGTGCAGGTGCAACGCTCTCACAAATCTATTTATATCATCACTATTGCACGCTTGGTTATGCATTTGTATATAAGCACATAAGACACTGACATAAAAACACTGTGAAGTTTATTGTTTATGACACATTTGTGCTTTTAATTATTTGCATATGATGGGCACTGCAGAACATTTGGGCTGTGTAATTGCTTCTAGATTACAAGGAAGTAGGCCCTAATCCAAAATAGTAACAAGCTCACTTTGAGGTCTGTCTGGTTTTGTACTTTCCCATTACTTCATGAAGTCACACGTTTGATGAAGTGATAAGCTATGCTAGACTTCTCATTTGAGTCACTATTGTCTGTCAGTCTGCCCATTGCCAGAAATTAAACAAGTGATGTGCGTATGCAATATTCTGTGCTTTGTTTATACATTTTTGAAGGTCTCTTACTTTATCTCAATATAATTAAATTTTATTTACTGAGTGTGCTGTTGTTGGCATTCACAGATGCTTTGGCCTCAACAAGAATGACCTGTAGGGGACATTTCAACACTCTAGTGCTTATGTTTGCCTTACTCAATTCCTCTGGGTCAGCTGATAAACCATGAAATAGTCTACATCATGAAAGACATGTAGCTGTAAAGGCTATAGGATAAGCAATTAGTGAAAGACTGCGAAAAGTTTGCTGGTTTAAGCATAATGTTTAATTCGGGCAAATAAGTTTCGATATTAAAATTTGCATTGAGTGCAAAACTTGACTAGGCTTTAGGCCTATTCAGCACTATTTGTGGTCTGTTCAGCAGTTGTACACAACACAGAAACAAAAGAATGCCAGTTTCCTTTTTTTGTTTTTGTTTCTCTTTTTCTTGTTTTTATTATTATAAATCAAGTGATAACGTACAAATCCGACCCTTTGACACTTGTGCACGTACAGTCACAGTGAGTGTCCCTTTAATGTGAGCCCAGCCCTGCTCAGGGCCACAGCAGCAGCCTGAGGAATGCACCGTCTGTATCTGATGCCAGAGACGGCTCCCAGTGGAGAGCACACGCACAACTAGATAAAACAAACGATGTGGACATTTGTTGTTATTGATTGTAACAATCAAGTACATAAAGAAAACTCATCGACACAATTTTGCTACGAGAGGAACTGGCTGCATTTAAACCGGTTTAGGTAAGAAACTGTAGCTCCTGGTCCATAGTGGGATCAGGTGGATAATTCCCGTTGTTTCGCTCAAAGACTTGAGAGACGTTTATCCTACACTTTAACGGCGAATATATGTCAAATTCACTTGTTAACCCACTAACATTTACAAAGTTTAATGTGATGTGAAACATTTAAAAGTTTTAGAAATATGTTTACTCAATCAACCTTCATTTGTTTGCGTGCGCTCAAACTGTTTAAAATGATGCTAACAAGTTAGCTTATTACCGTTAGCCTATTAGCCTGGACCGATTCTGTTGGAAAGACATTGTTAGTGTCACTGCTGAATTGTTCTTATTGTTCTAACATGAGAAAAAATATTTTTACTACACTTTATTAACTGAGGCTGTGCTTGAGGCTCACAGCATCTCCAGCTCAGAGCAGTTTGTGTTTTTTGTTGTTAGTTGCTCCTGCTGCTTGCAGAAGCTCAACAGGTGATGCTAACATCTTTAGCTGCATCAAGGGCATCACATAAAGTTTGATGGTCCAAAGTTCCTAGATGAGCACGTTTTATATATATATTATAGTGTATACTATAATATGCATAATGTATGATGCGATTCTAGAGAAAAGATACAACAAGTTGTAAATAGTTTACATGGAGGTTACTGTATCAGTGTAAAATAGTATTTTATAGTAGGTGTAGGTCTGAGTGCCTAGTTCAGAGCTCTCTAGCACTAGGGTGCATTAAACAGAATAGTAAAGTAATATGAATCTATCTATCTATCTATCTATCTATCTATCTATCTATCTATCTATCTATCTATCTATCTATATATATATATATATATATATATATATATTATATATTTCATTCATAATATTCATGTTTAAGGTTTTTATTTGCCTACTCGATATCATGGACTATAGGTTCATTTTAGCTCTGTATGGTACCAGGCTATAGGAATGGTCTAGGCTTTCCTGCTCTGACTGGGCTCTCTGACTGGATCACATGGGGCTAATTGTACTTGGCAGGACAGCTTGCTAGACCATAACAACTCTCTTCTCTTTTTACTCAAATCAGAGGTTTTGCTTTCAGTCTGCCTGCCTTCCATGTTCAGGGATGCCATAACGTTACCACAGGGGCCTGTATATAGAAGCATGTAGCAGAGGATCATAGATCATTAATACAGAGAATCATTCAGATGGGAGTATTTAACAGCGTGTTTATTTTAGTTGTTTGTTCCTGAAAACAGCCCTTATAACCTAGTCTGTAACAACATCACTGTGTGAAAAAGTGTTTCAGATAGTTTATATATTATGACTAAACTGTAATGAAAGCAGCAATGAAACCAGAAACATGTGATGTGGCTGATATGAAGCATAACTCTGTGTCATTTCACCTAAACAAAAACAACACTTAGAATAATTGTTCTGAGATGACAGATAATTAAAAGTAATAATATAGAATATTAAATTAATATTTTTTCCATATATTTCTTCCATAGTTATCTTGTTTTATTATTATTATTTGTTTTTTTATATTTTTTTTACTAAAGGATTAGTAAGTATGATTTTTAGTTTTGAAGTTGTTGTGAAAATAAATGTATCTTTGATACACTCTAGCAGGAATAGTGTTCCTGGAATCATTTACAGTAAGATAACACAAGTAAACACATTTGCTCTGTACTAAATTACTTTCATGATTTTCACCTCAATGTAAAACCTGTTGTCCACTCACTTTATATATTAAAACCAAATCTTTAGAGGCGTGTTTTTATTTCCATTTCACTGCGTTGCTCATTCAAGTGCAGACAGCACTAGCTTATGCTTGTGGGAGGGCTAGTTCCTCGTCAGCAGATTTGAGCTGTGGAGGTGGTTTTGATGTAAAACTGACTGCAAGCGAGAATGTGCTGAGTGAGGTAACACCTTCCTTTGTGATGGCACTAAAGCACCACTTAAATTTTGTCCTTTGATGTTATCTAAGGACTTGAAAGATATTTCAGACTTACACAAGTATCTTTTCTGCTGATTTGCTTCTTTATTTTCTGACACATGCTGTGATATTTGACTTAACAGTAATTTAAGGTGGGGAATTGAAGAGACATATGACTCATTACACCATATTTCTGAATAAGATGAATCATACTGAGGGTATTTTAAATCATTACAGTTAAATTACAGCACAGTGATCACTTGATTAATACTGGCATAGACTGTAGCCATTTGTGGCCACACAAGACCTGAACAAGCAGATGAAGAAGATTAAGATCTTTAGTTTTAGATAAAAAGTTCAAGGCATCTGAACTGAATTGCTTGTTTTGTCTTGAAGTAAATGTTCTTGCTCAGTGTTCATGGTTTATACAGCCACTTTGCATAGTTTGATCATTTGTTTGACCAGCCTCCTCCCATGGGATAGCCTACACACAAAGCCATGCTGCGAGATCCAGGCGCTTTTGTTTTCTTTTGCAACTGTTTTGGTCACCAAGAGGGTATTTGGCCTATTATCACCAAACCACATATGACAATAATAGAACTGTGTCTTATAAGAACAAACATGGGACAACTTGACTAACAGTTGATTGTGAAACCAGAGGCCCTGATGTTTATTTTCTGTCCTGCTGTTTTGCAGATTGTGCTGTGAATGTCCACAAGACTTGTAAGAGCCTGCTGACTGAATGCACCAGTAACAAGGTATAGCACTGGATGTATTAGACTGAATATATTAGACACTAGATAGTTGTGTTGTGTAATTTTGAATAATCTTGGTGCACTAATGGAACTTCTTCTTTCTCCACAGAGAGACACTTTACCAAGGACTGGCTCATCAGTGTCCTCTCATTTGGGTAAGTTTCTTGTGCGTGTTATAGTAGAAGGTGTATAATGAAAGAAAGATGGCTTTGGTTCCACTGAGCGTTGCTGGCTCTCTGGTGACTTGTAATTGGTTATTTAATTAAAACTCCGTCATGTGCCAAGAGAATCTGTTTATCCTTTATGCAGAGGTTGGCCTTTAAATAAAATATATAACTGAGGAGTTTGAAGAGTGCCAAAACCATGCAATGACTTGATGCTTGGTGCAACAGTTGGCATATTCAGTTGCATGTGACTAAGAACCACAGGAGATACAGGCGAGGTCAGCAGCAGCTTAAATTAATCTCCTGTCACCATTGTTATTGTCATGTGAACAGCTGGAGTCTAATCAAACACACCTGACTTGTGCCCATACCTGCTCCAGCCAATCAGTGACCTGTGTAGGGGGTCAGGAAGACAAAGAGAAGGAGCCAAAGTGTGAGAATTATAAAAGGCTGAACCTTATTCTAGAATCTGCTCGAACACCTCGGCTCGTTAAAATAAGATGCATTGAACTGGCTTCTCCTCTTTGGGCTTAATGCACACTTAGAGAACTACAGCTGCAGCTGAGATAACGTTTGTACACATTTACCATGGCCTTAGCTTTAACAAAGAAACCTGGGAGCACCTCTAAACCTTGTGCGAGGAAAGCCAAAGCGCCGTCTCTGTGCTCCGTGTCCTCGTGGGGTCTGTCCAGTCGGGTCAGAGTGCGAATACTTATGCACCGGGACTTACTCACCTGCCGATTCTTCCGTTCTTTGCCAAGATCTTGGCTGAAAAGATTCTATGGACAGCAGCAGTCCAACAAACATGCCATGTCTCTATCCTTCTCATCCACTCATCTTCATCACTGGTCACTTTGTCATTACTGTTCCTCCTCCTCTTGTTGTTCCTCCTCTTCCTCACCTGTCTTTCATTTCTGTGCTCCAGCCATTAAAGACAGAGAGCGTGAGTCATTATCGTCCCAGGCCCCGGATGGCCACTCGACTTATCCCAGTGTCCCAGGCATGACCATTCTTCCACGGGGAGGTCACACTCAAGCAGCTGCTGCCCACAGCACCAGCTCCAGCACAGCCTCTACCATTCCCATGGCCAGCCTCCGTCACCACAGCAGCTCGGGGTCTGTGCTTTCACCACAGAATATCAGTTTTTCTCCTCTGTTGTAATTGCTTCACTGAGCTGCAGGACTCAATGGTGTCTATTTTTGTGCTGTTGTTTTCACAGATCCCTCCCTGGGGACATGGATGAAATGGACAGCCTAAGATCCAAACGTTGCAATGAGGATGTCATTTCTCTTGCTCCCTCTACTGTGGAGTCAATTATTGTAGAAGGTAAATCTTAGTATGATTTAAGATTAAATTTTTTGTGCTTGTGGCAGAGATGTCATTTTATTTATTTTTTGGTTTCAGAAGATAGATGAAGGTGTAAAAAATGGTAATATTGTGTTAATTAGTGTGTACTGTGTTTGTCTCTGTCAGATGCTCACTATGCAGCTGTGCGGGCTGATCTTGAGTCTGATGCTCAGGATCTGGAGGCAGAGTCATGGAGTTTAGCTGTTGACCAACAGTTTGTCAAAAAGCACTCCAAAGATATTGTAAAGAGACAGGATATCATTTATGGTAAGTTTGTCTATTCTGTTCAGTTGTATTACGTTTAGTTTAGTTTATTTGTCAGGGACCATTACCATATGTAATAATAATATTACAAAAGAAAAAATGGTTGGTGCCAGATTTAGTTTTCTCCAGGCAGGTGCACATACAATAAAAAAAATTTAAAAAACACATTATATTGTAATTACATTCCTATACCAACTTAGCATATTAATTGTCATTAGCTCTCTAAAGAGAAGAACTGGCCAACATTGTGTAGAATGTATCATGTGGGATGTATATAAAAGTTTTGTGGTATCTAAAAAATGGTGTTTGTGATCCTATAGAGCTGATGCAAACAGAAATGCACCATGTTCGAACCTTGAAAATCATGTTGCGGGTTTATGTTCGTGAGCTGAAGGAGAGTCTTCAGATGGACTCGGGTAGAATTGACTGTCTGTTTCCTCGTTTGGAAAACCTGCTGGAGCTGCACACATACTTTTTATCCCGACTCAAAGAGCGACGGCGAGAAAACCTAGAAGCTCCCAGTGACAGAAACTTCATCATACACAGAGTGGCTGATATTCTGATCGCACAGGTACCAATCATTTATTGATCTTTTAAAATATAAATAAATTAAAGTATTACATTTTTTTTACTATATACAAAATCAATAAAGCAACAACATGACACATGACACCATCTATAAACAAAGTAACAAAGTGAGTTTTTTTAGTTCTCAGGTGAAATAGGAGAGAAGATGAAAGACGGCTATGGCGATTTTTGCAGTCACCATTCTGAGGCTGTTGGCTACTATAAAGAGCAGCTACAAAACAATAAAAAGTTTCACAGCACCATTCGGGTAGGAAAACTAATATGACTTTTTACATTGTTGTCCATTTATTTTAATAATTTCTTCTTTTTACAAATCAGAAAATCAACAATTTGTCCATCGTGCGGAGGTTAGGTGTGACAGAGTGTATTTTGCTTGTGACACAACGCATCACTAAATATCCTGTATTAGTAGAACGGATACTTCATCACACAGAAGGTATAGACAATATTCTGCTCTTAATGATGTCTGCATTTCATTTAGGTAATTGGCCAAAGAGATAACATTTATTCTCAATGTCTTCAACAGCTGGTACACAAGAGTATGAAGATTTAACCCATGCACTGACTCTTATTAAACACACAATTGTGCAAGTGGACTCTTTGGTCAACCTGCATGAGAAAACGACACGTCTCCGAGATATTTACAACAAAATGGAGCCAAAGTCACAGGGAAAAATCAAAGATGGTCGAGTGTTTCGGCGGGAGGACCTTGCTCAGGGCTGGAGGCGGCTTCTGCATGAAGGCACAGTCAACTGGAAAGCTGCGTCTGGAAGGCTCAAAGGTACATGCATACAATCTAAAGGTCTATCTGGTTATTGTATGGAAGTGGTAAATGTTTGCCTTTGCATTTACACGTGTCAATATTTGTCTTTTTCAGATATACTTGCTGTCCTCCTGTCCGATGTATTGATTTTAATACAAGAAAAAGACCAGAGATATGTTTTTGCGGCTGTGGTGAGTAATCTGACAATAAAGGACATTCACAATTAGTATTGGCAAGAATGTTTGTTTTAGATAATTTAACATGACCAATTCTCTCTTTACAGGACAATAAGCCATCAGTGATTTCTCTTCAGAAGCTGATTGTTCGGGAAGTGGCCCATGAGGAAAAAGCCATGTTTCTCATCTGTGCTTCATCTGATGAACCAGAAATGTATGAGATCCACACCTCCTCAAAGGAGGAGCGCAACATATGGATGACACACATCCGGCAAGCTGTGGAAAGGTAGTCCTGTGCACAAGTTTTTTATATTTAGACTTGCTGTGTTACACTGATAAGACATCTATAGGAGTCATTTTGTATGTGTTATATCTTCAACAGCTGTCCTCAAACAGAAGAGAGATTATTTAGTGAGGAGGAGGAAGCACGAGCATCAAGACTGAAAGACTTTCAAGGTAACATAAAAGGAAATACTGCACCACTAGGGGGTGCATGTGTACCACTGGAGTCATAAAGGGTCCTTTTAGATTTGAGTGTGTGTTTGTGTAAAATTGCAACTCTTGGTATTTTGTGTAGTTGTTTAAAAGTTAATATGTCTTTATAGAGCGTCTGAGCCAGAAGGATGCCGTGATTGTGCAGGCTCTTAGTGAGAAGTTGCAGATGTTTGCAGAAATAGCAGAGTCTGTAGCTGGAGTGGAGGACACAGCCTACCGTTCTCGACTGCTTCTCCGTGGTGATGGCACAGACCTCCTGCAGGGGGAGACACTTCTCAAAGGAGCTATCACTGAAGGTGGGCAGTATTCAAACATTACAGTGTTTCTGAATTAACTGCCATAACTATTAATTTTATTTGTCTGCATCAGTGGAGAACCTGCAAAACCTTTTACAGTCTGGAGTGAAAGAAGAATCACACAGGCTGGAGGAGATCTCTGGGGCTCTGCCCAAGAGAGCAGTCACCTTTGGGGGCTATGACAGTACCTCAGCAATCCTCCATAACAGTGAGTTCTGACAAGAACCTTGTGCTCATTTGTATCTATATTTAACATTTTTCTGCTGTTGTTGATATTGTTTGTTTATTTTCTTTCTTTGTCTCAGACGGCACTGTTAAGACTGGTGAAAGTAAAAACAGAGATAGGAGTCAGAGAGCTAGCTCTGACCCACAGCTCAAAGACCTGTGCGGCAGCCACACACTAGAAGAGATGGTAGGCACTGTATTTACTGGCCTGGGACTTAAACTGTGATGCACATGTTTAATGTAAGTTTTTCTAACAAAGACATCATTTGAAATAAGAGAGATACGAATTCATTGTGATTGGATGGAGCGAATCATCATTGCAGATGCGAAGATGTTGCAAGACTGTTTTGGGACTCTCGAACTTTGTATCCTCCCCATACACTAAAGATGAAAATAATGAAGTAGAAAAAGGGGTGGCCAGGAGGGGCATAAAAACGAGAAGATGGAGAGGGAGTGGGTGGTTTAAATGGGGAGGGGCAGGAAGGGTGTATGTGTGTGCGCTTATCCTTATTGTTTGGTCCATTTCTGATCAGGTTGATGAGAGTTGTTGTTCACCTCCGAGATGGAACCGGATCTGGAGTGACTCGTTCCCTGAGGCTGAGGTCAGTCTACTGCTTAGGGTTTCAGGGTTTATTGTGTAGCTGAATTTGAAGGAAATTAACATTGGAGAGAGACATTTCACTGATTACTGTTTTTACTTTCAGTTCTTCGATCGAGTGCTCATGCTCTCTCAGAGGCTTTACAGCTTGCAGGTATTGTGGGTGGCATTGATTTTGCATTTACTTTGTAGCTCTGTTTGTAATGTTTGGACTTTTTCTTGTATTCTTTAGGCTATCATTTCCCAGCAGGACAGTCAAATCGAGATGCAGCGAGCATCACTGACTGAGCGTGCCTCTTTCCCGAGCCGCTACCGTGGTAACTGTCTACAAGAGCAAGAGAAACAGAGAACATTAGCTCTCCAAAGAGAAGAACTGGCCAATTTTCACAAACTACAAGCTCAGCATCGACAAGAACAACAGCGCTGGGAAAAGGAGAGAGAGAAGCACCGTCACCAGGTGGAGGCCACAGAGTCCAAGCTACGGCAGAGAGAGGAGGAGTGCAAACGGCTGGAGGTAAACTGCCCTTTTAGTAACAGTTGAACTTATATTTTTATAGTTTTCTTCTTTTGAAGACATTGTATTTTATTTTAGGAACGACTGGCAGAAGAACGAGAAGAGCTGGAGAGACAGAGGGAGAAGTATCAGGAGGATCTAGAGAGACTGAGAGAGTCGACTCGAGCTGTGGAAAAAGAGAAAGAGCGCCTGGAACACCAGAAGAAGAGCAAGAGGAAGACCATAGAGGTCATGACCTCTGTAAGTATCTCACACACGCATCTAATCTTCTTTCAAAAGTTTTGGGACTAATTCTTGCTTACTTAATGTGCTGGTAGAGTAGTTTGTTGCTTTTCTTAGGTCAATATCTGCAGACTGTATTCTTTGTGGAATCTCTTCTCCTTTCAAAAGCACCCTCTAGTGACATTTAGGGTAAACTGCAGTTTACGTTCACTGTCCAGTTATTAGGTGCTTGACCTTTAATAAGGCCCTCACAGTCTTTTTCTGGTAGCAGTAGTCCAATAGTCCAATGGGGTTCATTTGGTCTTACAATAATTATATGTTATTGGGTTCTTTTTTCAGACTAAGAGTTTGTTGTCATACCTGAGTGGTCAAGTGATGTTGCTGTGACGTGTCCGGTCAACTGATTTATACAGGTTTTGGCACATCTTCTGTAGTGGAGGCAGGATGACAGCGCCAAAACCTGTATGAATCAGTTGACCGGACACGTCACAGCAACATCAGTTGACCACTCTGAGGAAAACCGCTAGTGAGCAGTCGAAACTGTCAGGTATGAAAACAAACTCTTGGTCTGAAAAAATAACCCAATAACATACGGTAGCATAATGCCACACATAATCCAGAGCTGTCAGTCATGGAGTCCACCTGGTATGAGAGTGTTTCTTGAGCCTGCTTCTCCTGACTGTCTCTGAATTTGTGTCCACTGCTTCATTATCACTGCTCAAAGCAGCCCCTTCTGTGAGTTTCACAAGGAAAAAGATCCACACTGTAATTTCAAACCAGTTGTTTCATTCTGCTTTTGTTAATAAATGATTGCCAAGAGGAAATTCATATGACCATACAAGTTACTGAACAGATTTTTTTAAAAATGATTTTATGACATGATCACACCAGTCTAAGCAGTGCCTGTTGTTCCTCTGTTAGTATGATATTTGTAGTAAGAAACTCAATATTTCATTTAGAATATATTCATTCCATTGCCCCTTTTTAAGAACTACACCACACAACCCAAGATGCCGCTGTGTTTAGTCAATAGACATTCTCATCACTTCTTTGATGTGACAGTAGTACTATGATTTGATTTTAGAAGCTATAGTATACATTTAGAAGACCACAACTTCAAGTTCTAAAAAAAAAAATCCATATGTTAAGTTGACCTCATTTATTGTGATGAGTAATCCAGGCTTTTGTAATTAAAGAGTTTAGGAAAATTACATCAGTAAACAGGATTGCTATGTGGTGAATTTTGTATTATAAATAAAGTAAGGCAAACTTTGTCTGTTAAGACTGAATCACTGTTAAGTCTTCCAAAAGTGTTTTGGGCAACAATCACTTCTGTTTTGTGCACACACTGAGGGTATGTATAGACTGTGCTTTAATCTCATAGATCAGCTGTGATTACTAGAAATGTTTTGGTGCACAAGCACTATCCAAAACGGCAAACTTTTATCGGCTTCGACCTTCATTTCTTATCCAGACTGAAGATCAGTATAATACAAATACAACTGTTTACTGTTGCTCCAGTGTCTCATATCCACACAAACAGTGGCATGTGCTCCATATGAGCACAGAAGAGTCTTGCTGTGACATGCAGGACTTCAGAGAAACCTCTTTCATGTCTTATCACATTCTGATGACAGTTGGCTCGTCGCTTGTTGATAAAGAATTTTCATTGGCTTTGGTGGGAACATAGCCTTGAGTCTTATTGCAAAACAAACTCACAATGTGGGTTATTTTGATGGAAGTTTTACAGTCACTAAAACTTAAGTGTTTTAATGCTTAGGAAAAAGTTTTGAAATACTTAGGTATGTAAGAACTGACAAAGGTCACAGAACCATAGGGGTACTCATAAAACATGTATTCCAGCTGTGTTTTCCTCAGACTTCCATGTCGTCTGTGTCATGTTCTGGCCTTGGCATGTTTCTGATTTATGATGCTGTTGACTTGAACTCTGTGAGCGAGTCTTTAGCTCAACGCTCTTGGAAAAGCATTTGTTTCTTTTCTAATAGCATACTGTGCAAAGCTATACCAAAGCATTTCTGGAGGGCAGATATTTCCAGTTTCTGTCATCTTTAGTGCATTGCTTAGCTTCACTTTCATGTTTATAATCTCGGTTGTCAATTTGATTTTACTATGTCTCAATACAAATTTCAATGTTAATTTCCTGAACATAAATAACACAGGTGCATGCTTTTCTTCAGAGAAATGGCTGTAGACCTCTCACTGAAAAAGACACAAGTATTTAATTGACAATTAAAATTGACTTGAATCTCGATTAACGTGTACTTATTTGCACAGCCCAACCTGCAGTGTTAAACAGTATGGCAAACGTATCTAGCCTGTATTCAATTACAGGTGTTATTATTGTTTAAAAATATCTCTCCACAAATCAGACCTGTAACTTAGCCATACGTGGAATATTCCAAACAAGGCAATTACATCTCCATGGAGACATGAAGGTAGCAGGCCCTCCATAAAAAAGATACTTAGTGTTACTTTAAGGTTATTTGTTAACTGACCTTTTTTTTAACCCAGTAGTTCTCTCTGTAGTTCTGAAAACATCTTTTGATCTCCTTTTGTGCGGAGTGTAAATTAGCTGAACAATGCTGTGGTGCTCCTAACAGAGTAATGTCACTGGAGCCATGTGGTGGTTCTGCCATCCTACCTGTTGTGTCAGACACGCCTTTATGTGCACAAGGACTGTTGGAGGTTTTTAGTTTCTCATTTGGTGTGTGCACGTTGTCCTTGAACCTTGTGAAAGGCCCATCCCAATCTCTGTCTGCTGGCTCAGCAGAAAGCATAGCATGTGTTTCTGATTCTATGTAGAGCCCATAAATACACTCAGCTCCATAGATAGTGTTTCTGTAACATGAGGTACACACATAATGCACAGGGCTCACACAAACCATCATTACATGACACTGCACAACATCGACCATAAACAGACATTTAGAGGTGCAAGATGTAACTTTTCTAGTGCTTACTGCCAAACAATATCTTGAAACATGTATTCCAACTGTGGGATTGCTTCTCCACAGAGCTAACAAAGTTACAGGAAGGCTGTGCAATAATCTTTTTTATTTATTTATTTATTTTTTAACTACTCCAATCCGTTACAGTTAAAATATATTTGGGTGATCATTACGCCCCACTAAACCCAGTTTGTTTAATCAGTGACTAGTGGTATTTTATCATAATTATTATATATAATAATACTGATGGATGATATTAACATTTTCTACAGGGGACCTTTTGACAAGACATAAGTAATAATTTCAGTTATGGCTAAAATAATTTTAATTGTAATTTCTCTCTCTTCCTGACTGTGCTGCAGGTGGTTCCTCTGTCTGGTAGTTTGAATGGTGTGTCCAGCCCCACAGGCCTGTCTGAGCTCAAGGGCCTCAGGAGCAGTGTGTCTGTGGCTCCAGCTGATTTCCCCGAGCGCCCTGAGGTCACTCTGCGGAGAGAAGTGAGCAGCTCCACCCTGAAGACGGAGGTCCCTCTGCACCTGCTCAGCACCACCAACCAGCACAAGTCTGTCAGTGTGTCCCAGCAGATCCCCACAAAGCTGGCTGCGCTCAGCAGTGTCAAGGGCAGTAAGCCTGGCAAGAGTGGAAAGGCCTCTCATAGGTCGGACAGCTCAGGTATGGGAAAGCCGGATGATGTTTTTTTTTTTTTTCTGTTTATCCTTTAGTATTAAATTGAAAAACAACTGTTTGTGCTCTATAATAACAGTGATTTTATTCATAATTGAAAGCACAAGATAAAGTAGCAGGAAGATAGTACTCATATACTTGTAGTATTAGTACGAGGAGATTTTTATTCTCTTACAAATGTGGTAAACAGAAGTATTTTAAACTGTGTGCAGTGATTTAAACTTAATTTGTGCATTCCCGGCATCCTGATTATTCACTGTTTACAAACGCTTTTCACAACTTCCAAAGGCCATAGTTTTACAGTCACAGTAATGGTAACAACAACAACAACTTAAGCTAGCATGCAGCCTTACATACAGATTTTTTGTGCAAAAGTGTTTTGTAATTGGATTCAAACGGCACACAGCAATCTCATTTTCATGGCAAGAGCTGCCCATATGATTGTAGTGGGGCAAGACAAATTTTACCTCATTACATGAACAAGAAACGGGTACAGCCCCTATAAAGTCATAGCGTAGTTGCAGCAGTATTACAAACATTTTTTAAGTAAGCAATAGATTTATATTAGTGGGCATATTTGTGTGTACTCTTTACTGCTCTTTTTGTTAATGATTCCATTTGCATTTAGGCCATCTGTGCCTGACATGAGTTTGACCGGAGCCTCCTGACTTAAGTGGTTCATTAGGATCACATTAGAAGTGTAATTGGGTCAGCCCTCTGATATATTGAATAGTGGCGAGTAAACTGAAAGTTTAATCTAATTGTACAATGGTGTGTTCATGTTTGTCTCATGTGATCTTTCCTTGTGCTCATTTTCCTCAGTGTCGATGGATATGAAGCAGATGTTGCCTCTGAAGCTGTCTGCTCGAGATGACAACTCCCTGAAGGCCAAACGCTCCATCAGCCCCCACCAGCCCCTCACTGTGTCCACATCCCCTCTGCCTCACACTGGTACACGACTCTTTTAATGTTGTGCACTATCAAAGCAGATATGAGATGGAGTGTGCCCACACCTACCGTAGTGCACTGGGCCTCTCCCTGTGTAAACAGCTCTCAGGTTCACACGCCTCGTCTGTGATTAATAGCTTCTTACACAGACTTAATAATCTAAAACCCTGACACCAAATGGTTTAGGTGTGATCTCAGTATCCTCGGCTAAACACGCTAACCATTAGAGATGTAAAACAAAGACAGCTGTATTAAATCCTACAAACCTAAAAAAAAAAAAGTCAGAAGCTGATATGTTTTCTTTTTCTTCTTTTCTTTCTCTTCTTTCTCGCAGATTCGCTGAGCCCACCGGACAGTGCAGGATTTGAGAGCCACTCCTCCTCCCTTCTCATCGCTCCTCCTGGGAATACCCATAAGCCCCCTCTGCAGCCCACCATCTCTGTTCAGTCCCGGAGCTCTGGCTCCTTTCTGTACCAGCCCCAGCAACCCACTTTTGCTTCCCAGCCACCCACCCAGCCCACTGTGCCCCCTCCGTACCAAGGCACCACAGAAGACCTGAAAGAGGACGTCATCTTTTTCTGAAGCACAAACAACACATTCCTGCATCCACCACAAGTCTTATTCTGACATGGGTAAAAATATCTGAATAAAGTAGTGGCCGTTTTTAGCTTTTGCCCGTTGTTGCTTATGCACAGGAACTGGAGCTCACCGGGGTTTGTTGTATTAACTGAGGCCAATTATAAGGAAGGATTTTTGTATTCAAAGATGTGTTACAAGAGCTGAAGACAAAGTGAACACAAACGACTCCAGTGCTGGTTTGGATCACCTCAAAGTCTGAGTAATCCAAGTTCATTCTCACTCCAACTGCTTTTATTTGCACTGTGTAAACACTCCATTCCCCAATAATCTGGTCCGCTTTAGTGGATAAGACTGTGTTTGTCTTTGTTGTACAATTGCACAAATCTATGAAGGCTCATATATCATTATGTTCTTAATTGTGACTACCCCTGAGGGCTAAAGATATCCTCTTATGAAGTACACTGGTTTCAGCAACACAAGGATTTGATTCTTTCCCAGGCTCTTGCATAGGGATTCCAAATCACTTTTTACTCCAGTTAAGATTGGCTTTGGAATTGAACCATATGTTAATGAAGGATATAATGGGTATGTTTCCACTGCTAAAACAAACTAATAAAAAGATTACAGTGGCTGTGTTTACATGCACACTTAAAATCTGATCTATCTGATTTATCTTATATCTTATCTCATCTTTCATCTGTCATGTAAACAGTTACATCAGATGTGACTCATCTGATTTCTTTCTGATTATTCAGAACTGTACAGGCTTTGACAAGGACAATAATGCAAAAGGCAAAGACAAAAATTAATGTTTATTTTAATTTTAAAATGAATTATTATTCATTGTAATTTGGCTTCCAACTACAACAGTTACTCTACAAATCCAACGATTGACTGTCACCAGGTGTTTTTGATGATGAGATTTCTGTTGTGCATGAAAACATAAAAATCAGACCTCATTATTGGGTAATCTGATTATTCTATTTATCTGTTTCTGACCATGTAAATGTACCCATTGTTTTCATGATGGTTTGGTTTCCCATGTGATGTGTAGATCAGCTGGATCTTAAGCAGCTTTGTGTAAAATATGTATACATTGTACATAGCTTTTGTATTTGTGTCATTCTGTCTTATGTCACTTGTTTTATGAACGAGATGCAAACATCAGCCAAAACTGTTGTTGATTGCACTTGATTACACATATGGCTGTGTATGTACGATGAACCACAATCACTTAGTGCTGTTTAAAGGAGTATGTTTTTTCAAATGTACTTACAGCATTGAAGCTAAAGTGCACAACTCTGGTACTATGACGTGTGATGTTTTTATTGATTCTTTCATGTATTTGGTTCAGTTAAAACCAAAGCTTTGTGTATTTCTTGTGTAGCTCTTACCCCAGAGAAGATTACCTTCTTAAACTTGTAGCTAATTGAAGTATTTTTCAAATCATCATCTGTCTGCCATATGCATCGAGAATGTAGTATGTAGGATCTTTTATGTACTGATAGCCTCTTGTTTTGCATAGTCACAGCATTGGACACTTCTCTGATTCTTGTCTGATTATAATTTATTTCTGATTTTAAACTCACAAAAGCCAGTCTGTCACATCACTGTTGTGTTACTCTGACACTCCAACATTTTGGACCTGTACCTTGTAAATAATCATGAACTTATTTTATTTCCTTGGCCAATCCACACTAGTCACTTTGGATAGTAGTATACTTGAAGGCTAAAATGAATGTTTTATTTCTCGTTTTTGTCAATCTTTTATTTACCAAGAGCTGTCTAATGACTTTGTAGCACACAGCTGAATTTTTTATTGTTTAATTTTATTCACTGATAGAACAACCTGTGGACACCAACTTAATTTAGACAAACTTAAAAATAAAGTACTTGAAATGATATGGATTGTTGTGACCAGTGAGACATTATTTTTCCAAAAGTACACGTACAATACCTATTACATAAGTATGTGTATAAGGATTAACTGCCTGTTGTAAACATATAATATACCCGCACATCTAAGCTCTTATTTACTGCTCATTCAATGATCCTGACCACCCAATCGGCCCTTTCCTTGTGATTGTTCAGTGCTGTTGGAATGCCAGCAGATGTGCTAATAACAGCCTGCCCGGTGTGTTGTGTCTTAGGCGGAGGTTGCTGGTTCCTCTTGCAGCCGAGCGGACAGTCCCTGCTCATTGTCACGGAGCCTGGGAATGTTCCACAGTGCAGAGGCCACTTTTATTGTCTGCTGTCATTAGTGGCTTTTTCTGTCTCCTCACAAAGCCTGTTTTTTCCAGGCGTCTTCCACACAGAGATCTTAACACTGGCTTTGTTTCTTTACGTCTCCAAAAATCATCTCTGCCCAGTCTGGGATGTTTTATGTAATGCTGTTTACAGGAAGTTGTCCTGGTTCTTGAGCCTCTTCATCTTCTGATACCACAGTATATGAGAGAGTAATTATTTGTGCCATGCAGTACACTAGGGCTGTATGCCTTTAGTTTAGTCAATTAATCGTCAATGGTGTCTTAGATGACCAAAATTTGTATAAGTCAGCTGATTATTTTATTTAGATTAGACAGATTTATATGGTACAATAGCAGATATGAGAAGTGAGTGAGTGAGTGAGTTAGCTGAAGGTTTGGTATTTATTGTCCTTATGTGTGTATATGTACTAAAGACAGATTAAACTTCACAAGATTAATCTGTTTAAATACATTGTTTCTTGGTACTTTTCTTTTCTTTGCATAGTTACTTTTGTACAAACTCATGCATCTATAGTCATGTGAGTACAGTTTGGGTCAGATACAAAGAGATACGTAATAGTTTCAAGCATTTGATATGACCCCCTTTAAGTCGACTAATCGATCAGTGGAACATGTCTTTAGTGGACCAAGAATTTCAGTTCACTACAGCTGTACAGTACACTGATTCATACTAAAGTCATGTTAACTAAATAAACTGGACTTACTTATTAAAGTCATGCATTATAGTCCTTTTCAGAGTTTTAGTTTATTTCCTATAAATAACTTTGAGTTAAATATGGTTTGGAGTGGCAATACTTAAAGGGGGCTTTTTGTGTAAAATATTAGGAACTTTTACCCATATTATAATAACTGCTCTGAGTTGTATTTTGATTGATTCTTGCTTGTCGGAGCATGTTTGTCCTGCATTAGAAGCTTGAGTGCTCAAAAAAAAAAAAAAAAAGTCTGTTTTCATCTACCTTTTACTTACATTTATTATTATTATTATTATTATCATTATTATTATTATTATTATCTCACTCTGGGTCATTTATTTTTGATCCAAAATCATCATGTAGGCAAACAATAAAAACATCTTAATGAAAACTGGTGTTTGCTGTGGGAGTATTTCACAAAAGGCTGAGTCTACAGTCTGTAGTGTGTTGTTCTAAATGGGAAGTCAGTGAACCTTTTTCTGTTACTAAAGTGTTTTAGATCAGTATTGAATAATGATATACATATGGTACAGTTTAATACTAAATACTCGGAAAAAATATATGTTTAAGTACACAAGCAGACTTCTGTAATCTGTTGAAAGACACAGTGTCCTGTGTGTTCTCAAAGCTGACACTGAAGCTGACGACTGAGATAACACTGGGTAAAACATCCTTGAGTCAATACCGCCTCTATTACATAACATTTCATGGGTTTCAGTTTCCTGTTATATGTGACATTTGAGGACATTCAAAAGACATAATATTTTAAATAGAAAGGTTTATTTAAAAAAACAGACAAGTGCCATTTTAAAAAAGTCACCAGAGGCCCATAGTTTACTCTTTATATAGCAATATTTTCAAAAGCTAAATGTATTTTACTGCTATTAAAATATAATTTCACACTATACTTTCACACACTGTAGAAGAAAAGAGAAGAAAAGAGAAAACAAACAAAACTTCTTTGTCAATTTTTCCAAACACAATTGAACTTTTCAGTTGTTAATTGTTATGGCATAATATTTAATCACTCTGAAACACATGGAAGAAAATGACTCAGAGTTTCTTCTTATCTGCTCCTTAAAAGCAAAACAGTAAAGCTGATATATGTTGATACACATCTCACAGACAAGCTCAGTCTAAATAAATGAGAACATGGGTTACTTTATGCGTCTTGGCTTTGTTCTGGGTGAATGAGAGTGTCTGTTCCTCCGAGGGACTCATCTGATCTTCATCTTCTATCAACAAAAGCCAGTGCAGTGTTGAGCCAGCACTCTGAAAGCCCACACAAAGGAGAGCTTAAGGCTGCCAGGGAGTTGGATCAGACGGGTACTATGGTTGCCCAGGGAGATGTGTGTCAGGTGACTTGACCAGGTACATGATGATATTAAAGGTGAGCTGTCTCCCTGTTGCCCTTTGACCCCTGACTTGGATGCCTGTCCTGTTTCTCTGTACAGTCTATGACCAGGAGTCATGAATGGAGCCTTTGTCACAGTCCAGGAGAGTCAGCGACTACCTTTACTCGATTACTGTAATGTGTAGTCTGAGTCACACGCCAAACAGGAAGAAGTGTTTTCTCACCAACAAACTTTTCTACTGCAGCAACACTGAAAAAAATGTGACCTTGAATATTATGAAACTGCTTTAAAAGTATTATTAAAACAACATTATTAAAAAAATACTTCAGATCTGTGGAGAGGCGACACTGCTTCTTGTCAGAATGCATGGTTTTCAATACATTATATTGTGTCCTCCCAGAAAAGTTACAAAGTGTACATAATGAACATGGTGTCTGTATAAAATTGTATTTATTTTTCAATTTAGAATTTTTTTTCCCTTTTTGGTTATGGTCATGTTTGTTTTCTATATTTTCAGGCCCATAATTACCCATCTCTATATACTACTATATATATATTTCTCTACCGATGAATCAGTCCAAACAAACTTTGTGGGTAGACATCCTGTATAGTGCAGTCATATACTCTCTCCTCTTTGTAGGTGGCTTTGTCTGGCTCAGTCCTGGAGCGGGTCCCATCTCTTCTCCATGGTGCCTTATTGTTGAAGGCTGCAGTGTGTGAGGTCTCTGTGGTGCTCACCAAGGCCCATAAAGAACTTCCTTCACACTCTTTCAGTTAAACCTGGAGTCAGCCTGAGCTGCGCCAAAGCAAACAAGGCCTGGAAGTGAGCGTGGAAAAGCTCCTCACTGCACGGTCCATCACTTTATCCTGGAAACAAAGACCAGGGGGTTTATAGTCTTGGACTCTGATGAGGCTACAGGACAAGAATATTAAGATGTTGCTCATTAAAGAAATATAATGAAATTTCCACCAGAGAATGCTCAAGAGACTAGGTTTCACAGGATGTACTTTAAAACTTTGTTTAAAGAGTCCTTTCCGAGGTTGTGCACTTCACTCTGTTCATCAGACTGAAGTGCTCAATCTTGTGGCACTCAAAGGGGAGATATTATGAAAAATATTTCTGTACAATGTTCATTCAACAATAAAAACATAAATGTAAATACATTGCTTACTACAGTGCAATGCTACTCTGAAGAGTAGCTTCTTAATGACATAGTGTGCCAGATTCCCTTGGGTACACTTACTATTAACTAACAGTAGCCCAATATTATTTGGTGGTGAGTACTGTACTACAACAGTTTGTCATCTATCCTTGATAATCATTATATGCAAAAAAGAAAAAAAAGAATAATGTTTTACTCCTATTTAAGGCTAATTAAGTTTTATAGTATATTTCTTAACAAGGGAAACATAAAAGGTCATTAGGACAGACTACAGAGCCTTGGAGTTGGTCTTTGGTTAATCCATAACCTGAAAGGTCAAAAGGTCAATGCTGGTTAATGATTCATAATCAGTTTACACTAATTAAATGTGTCGTGTGAATGCTTCATGAGGCCATGTCCACAGCATCGTCTCTAAAGATAACGGCTGATTGATTGTGGTGTCAGTAAACAATGTTTTCAGCACTCCATATTAATAATGAATAGATGCTGCTTTTCTCAGTGGTACAATGAAACAGTGCAGTCATCACAGCTAGACGTCTGCCGCCCACACAGGCCTGTTCTCCCATGGCTCTCATTTCAGACTATTAATAACACGTCAGGTACTGTTGGCAGACTGCTAAAGTATGTTATCTCAGCTAAGAATGAGACATGATCTGCACAGCTCTGTCCCTCACAGCCTGTTTAACACATACACTCTGAGCTGCTCAAATCTTCAAGAACAAAGTTGGTTCAGAAATCATTAACACATTCAAATAAATGTTGACATTATTAAATCACAGATAAAGTATTATTACAACTATATTAACATGAACTTGTCATAATACTACATATCAACACATCGTTCAATATATTAATATCAGTATTATCGTTTATCTCAATTATTAACAGTGGCACTATATAGTGCTTCAACATTTGTTAACATGACGGGCCTACAGCAACAGAAGGATAAAACTAACCTGACTGACTCATGTATCCTGTTGGTGTGTGAACTGCACAATCTAATGTACTATGGGCGCAGGTTGTCCATATACTTTTCTCAAATTTAAATTACTTTTATTTTTAAAAGGTCAGTATCCTTGGGCATTGTCCCTGATAAAAAAAAAAGTGTTCTAAAATTTAAATTGTGTGGATGTAAGCCTATGTCCTTTTACAATTTGACCCCATGACCCTGGTTGGGACCCCTCTGTCCGACACTAAACTATATGCACGTGCATTGGAGCGCATGTGCTAATCCAGGGCGTGTGCTTCATTAGTTTTGGCATAATCTTCTGTGCAGTGTCCATGAGTGAGGAGGAGGGGACACACACCAGGCCCAGACACACAGATGCTGTTGACACAATCTCTACATTGTCCCCTTGGTCTAAGTGTCACATCTGAAAATGGACATCTCCCGCAACAGAAGGCACCACCGCATAGGCTTTTACCAC